AAGCAATTGAGAGTCGCGTGTAAATAATCGCTTAAATGGCTAATTAGTAGTTTTTGTTTATTTTTTTCAAGGAAACCTTGAGTGGAAACACTATCAGCTGTTTGCTAAATACATTCTTTGAACAGCATAGCAGCTGCTTCGCACTAAATTTTGCATTCCGCTATTTTTTTCTTTTACCTCTATTCAATCTTTTTTTAAACTTTTTGATTAGCAGCACTGATATGGCAGCAGCGTTTTGCTGCTGACTTTTGTGATGATTGCTTTGTGACGCGTTTTGGAGTTTCTTCATATCAGTGCGATTACGCTTAATTTATAATTCAGTATATCATCGCAGTATTACGCATTTCTAATAAATCAGTTAACTTTAAAAATGTCTCTGATTACATTTTGTAAATTACTTTCGGTCGTAGTAGCATTTAGCTGCTTCTAAGTTTTTTTTTTTGATGTTAGAAACACAAATTTATGTCGGGATTATTTATATGTATATATTTTGAATGATTTACTTGCGGGACTTTATAGACAGAATTGCCGTCATCGCCGTACTGCATTCAATGGCCCTTTCTTAGCAAGCCGCCAAAAAACCTAATAGGCGAAAAAGGTGGTAAAACCCGCGAAATCCTACCTGTGAACACGCAGAACATACAAATATGCACACATTAGGGTGGTAAAAAATGCATGTGAAAAAGTAAAGTCGAAATTTTTATGCTCTCACCCGCTAGGATTGCTCTATACCCAACAAAAAAAAAATATATAATCCTATTTGTTATTTTGAAATCAAAAAATATTTAGAGGTCGCTCAAAGCGCTCAAAATTTTCCATGTATTTTATGTAGGGAAAAGGCCATTTTTCGTAGAAATGATATAGAATTCTTGAAAATCAATATTTTTGCTCGGAAAACTCTGCTTCTCTTCAGGAGATTCCCAATAATAGGTAATATCCAATTATTTATTTAACCCTCTTTTCATAGTAACTATATTTCATAGATTCGCCAAAACCCCCAGAAAATGCCAGAAAACGCAATGGGGGTATATAAAAAATCTTTAGAATTAAAAAATGGTTAAATAAAACTCAAAAATACTTGGATTAAAATAATAATACAAAAAAGATAAGGCGATAGTAGCGGTATCTTCATTTCGGAACTATGATGTGCAAAAAAATATATCTTGAATCTTATATTTTAATTTAATTTGAAATTTCACAAATTTTAGCTGTAGAAAATTAACTAAACTACACACATACATTTTGAATTAACCTTTTATTCATCTTTTAAATGCTAAAAACGTTCCCGAATTGAAATAAAATATTTGCTTTTACCGCCAGTAAATTCTGTACCTCCATGATTTTGACCCTTATATGGAGTTAGTAGGTAACCACGGTGATATGCTCCATAACGGCTTCTGAAGGTGATAAAGCAACGAATTGATTATTTCATCCAATTTCTTAAATATCGAAATCTCTTTCAAACAATAAATATTGTTTTTTTTTTCAAACTAGCCCAAATTTAAAAAGTATTGGATCGAGTTACCAGTGCTGATAGTTCCTCTTGTGAGCGATTCCATGTGAAGTGATCAAAATGAAAATAAAATATTTCCTCCTATTTTTCTTAAACTAAATTAGCAAAAATATTTTTCCATTTATTCCAATATTTTCCGAGAGGGAGGGTGTGAAAGGTTTTACGTTAAACCGCATTTTTAATATTTTTTTCTCTTAACTAATTAAATAAAAAATATTTGCTCTCTGACAAAATATTTTTTTATTTTCACTTTTATTTCAACATAGTTTGATTAAAAGAAAAATACTGATAAAACCAAAATATTTCACACAAACCCGGTTGAAATTTTGAAATTCGTGCCCGTATTTTGTTTGTAAGTTAAATATGTATTAGTGTCATTGTGCTACTATGAAAGCACGTCAGCGTATGTCTATTTAGTAGTCGAAAAAAATTATAGCCGTACAAAATTTTTACCAAATTTTGATATATTCTAACTTTTGTTCTATTAAGGCCCGTCGAGAAGGGAGTGGCTGTCTGGGGTGTTTCATCCGGGCTCTGATTTTACGGAAAATTTACTTGAAAGTTAAAAATATTTTTCTAAGGGTCAAATTCGGAGGGCGCAGTTAACCACTGCATGCCCCTAGAGTTTAACTCTTGTTTTACCTAAATATTTGTGTGGAACGAAATTCAAGTTTGTACAGAAAAATTTCGATTTCCCGAAGTTATATAATTTCATGCGATATGACTGTGAACATGAAATATAGTTAGTTAAGTATACTATTTTTTTTAATATGTAAATTTCAATTTAAAAAAAACAAGCTTTCCTATGCCGATTGGCAAATAAGAAGAGCTCCGAAAAGATTAAAAAAAAAACGTGAAAAGGAATCTCGAGAAGATCCGTAAACTCCGAAATAGTTCCGAAACTTCGAACAGTCCCGAAAAATTCTGAAGATACCGAAAAACATACGGCTACGGGTTCTGAAAGAAAATAAAGAAGAAGCCCGAAAGTATCCCAAAAAAATGCCGAAAAAATCTTGAAAAGTTTCAAACACAATACATTAGTACTTGAGTATTTAAGACTTTCAAATACTTAAGTATTTAGTATTAAGTTCTCCTAAATACTTCACATCTCTTTGCTTTAGTATTTAGTAATTCCCAAATATTTACTCAAGCTTTTTAACTTTATATTTAGACATGTTTAAATATTTACGTACTTAATATATGGGTATTTCGTAAACAAACAGTACCTTTAATTACATAAGTATTTAAGGTTGCCCATTACTGATACACCCAAAGTACCATAGCCGCCCTCAAATACCAAGCTTTACTTAAGGTTCACCGTCAATATCCAAAAACTTCAGTGCTCAGTGGGTTTTCCTCGTCAGCTTCCTATCTAGAGTTAATCTTAGTTATTTCGCTCACTCAGAAAGATGAAAGTGTTTGCCGCAAATTACCGAAAAGTTAAGATTTTCAATTTTTGCTAGAATTGACATCATTGCGTGCCCCCCATGGATAACAGTTAACTCAAGGGATGTGAGAATAGATATGTATACCGTCCGCCCTCTGCCATGCAGTCCGCAATTTTCTAGAGTCCACTCCATACCGGCTGCCTGCTGAGTAAATTGAGTAAATGTTTGACAACGGATTGACAGTATATTTACTAAACTCTTTAATCTAATATACTTTTCGACCGCACACTCCAAGCTCTTCAGAAAGAGGTATGCATGTCAGGCTGTATGGCCTAAAGATTTTGGTTTGCGCTTAAGCACCCTGTCCGGATTTGGGACTACCCTAACTTTTTTTAAATGCTTTTTCTTTTGCTTGAAAGAAAAAATACCTCAAATGAGCCGATTAATCAAATTCGTAAATTCCTGGGACATAACAGTTATAAGTTTTATGGCAAAAACGTTGCTCCATAACAGTTATTAGATGAGAAATGTTTTTTATTTCGTCGATAAGAGTTATAACCTAACGCTTATTTTTTACGTTGCCTGATAACTGTTATGCCGGAAAAATATTTTTTCCGTTGCCGATAGGAGTTATATCCTAACGTTTTTGTTACGTTGCTTAATAAGAGTTATTTTACAACGTTTTTTTTTTTACGTTGTCTGGTAAACTTTGTAAGATTAGGATATGGATGGAGACGAAGAACAAGATAAAGATGATGAAATAAGAGTGGAAGAGTGAAATAACTCTTATCCGACAACGTAAAAATAAACATCGAGCAATAACTGTTATCAAGCAATGTAAAAAATAAATGTTACGAAATAACTGTTATCGACAACGGAACAAATTTTTCTCGTTTAATAACTGTTTCACTGTAAATTTCAGAATTTGAGCAACGTTTTCAATTTGCAAATTCGAGATAACAGTTATTTTTGGTCCCTGGTAAATTCTCAAGTAACAATACTCAAGCAGAAGACCAAAGTGAGATAAAAAGTTCGCAAAGCGGGTTTTACTCGCGTGATCAATTTTGAGCTTTGAATGAAAATAATAGGACGCTCTCTTGGAGAGGATCTAGATTTGATGGAAACACTCATTCTCTCATCTCGGGGTTATGGTGAAGGTGATGTCGTCACCACTGGGAAATCCTGCCACTTCCCCCTCAACTTATGACCGAAATAAAGTAGCCATCTTACCACTTTCATACTCGTAGCAAGCTCAGAGAATCGAGAATAGAAACTCTTGCTGGAGTTAAAAGATGCGCGGATGATTTGGAAGCCTCGAGCACATCCAAAAGGTCGAAGAACCACCGTGTCTCGGGAAGCGCTCAACAACCAAAAGAGGTGTGGCGATCCAATGCACCATCAAGATTATAGGGACAGAGGTAGAGAGGTCAACGAACGTCTAAAATTGGTGCAGTAGGTAGAAGCAATGGAGCACCGCAAAGTAGAGAACAATGTAGGAATATTAACGAAGGAAAATGTTTTTCGCATCTCCTTTGACAGCAAAAATGATGCCATCAAACTGTAATTGAGACTCAAATGTTTACAGAAAGAATTGCAATTATGTGAAATGCCTGTATTTAACGGTTTCAATGATCAAAAGCAGCGAAGTCGAAACCGCCAACTTCAACAAATTTTGAGCGATACTGGAGATGATCATTTAGAACTTTTGTTGTCTTGAATGTAGAAGAATGCTTTCGCGACACTGAAATTTTGTGTTTTCGCGTTATCAGATATAAATATAAGATCTGAAAACCTCGGAAAAGTATGTACGTACATATGTATATAGTTATTTGTATTCAAATTTTCTTATAATCCGTGAGAGCATTCTATATTTTTTTAGGAAATCGTGTCATAAACATAATTCTGTCGCAAGTTTATTCTGCTTTCAAGGTACATAATTTTTCCCTTTCATAGTGATTTTCCTTCTTTCACTTCAATAGATTGGTAAGCGCTTGGCGCCGACGTGAAAATACCAAGCTGCGTGAATTACAATAGCTCCGACGGCAAATAACGGATACCATTAAAGTTTCTCAACATTCAATTTTTGTTCTACAACCCACCTTGCAACAAACGATTCTCGGCGTCGGTGAAGCTCAACACCCACGCATCGCCTTCCATGGCGGAATTTTTGCCCTGCAACGCAATACACTCCTTTGACAGCATATCGAATCCTTCAGTCTTAACCTCTGCAACAATATTTGGATGCGGCCATGGTATGCCGGGCAGCGGCCAGTGTGCTGCCGAACGTGGCCACAGGCCGGCGCACTTGAAGGCGGGCGTAATCTGCACAATGATACGTTCGCGTATACGCAACTTCACCTCCGTTGTGTCGGCGATCATTTTGACAATATCGCGATAGGCGCACTTATCACAAGCTTGCGCCACCAACGTTTGAAAGCGGGAGCGTATCTTGCGCGCCGATAAATAACCGGACGCGGTAATGAATTCCACCCAAAGGGACATGGAGCGCTTGCGGCCGTCGCTTAGTTTGAGTACGGCGCAGCCGGGCAGTGTGCCATCGTCGACAAAGTTCAATACACCCATCTGATTGAGATAGATCACGATTTCAAATTCGTTGGGCGAAATCACTTCGAGACCCTCAAAGCGGCCATTGTAATCGTTTAGTGAGGAGATGAAGCGCGGCTCCTGCACCTCGACTTCCTTCAGGACGTCTTGCACGATGCGACACACCTCGAGTATTTGCTTGTGGATTTGTGCTTTACGCACTTGTACGCGATCGGCACAATATTTATTCATCTGATAGACCATCTTGGACTGCGCCGCAATCATATCCGACGGGACGAGCATATTGAGGTGCAGTGCGTTGTAGTTTTAGAGCAGCAGAACTTATTAGCAATTGGATTAAATGCCGGCTGATTGAAATGAGCGCGGCGAGCGTGGTAGGCTAACGGTATATCAGCTTTGAAGTGATAACATTTTTTCACGGAAATACCGATTTGTTTGAAGAGCTTTTTGATGTACGAAACTCTTTTTTTTTGATTTTTCACTAAAAAACTTTTCGCTGCTACTTTTGCTATTTCTAACTCAAATTCACTGTTCACAACACTTTCTACTTTTCACTTGCCGCTAGATATTGTTGATTTTGTGTGTTTTTTTTCACTATTTAACTTATTGTTACTTGGCGGTTTATTATTCGATTACCACCATTCCACACGCGCCATTCACACCCAACAAACAGCCACCGTCGTTAACGCAAAAATCGAATCGAAAACGCCACCGCCGTCGCGTTTAGATTTCTTTCTTCTCGCGTACACACAACGCCAAGCTCCAATGTTGACTGATTCCGTATGGCGCACTCACCGCAAGAAAACCAACCAACCTGGCTCGCCCGCTGCGGCCGGCGCCACTTTGTTGCTCTTCGTTGTTCGCTGCTCAGCGAGTGCGTGCGTGTGTGTCGCTCTATCAGCGCAAGTATCTGAGCGCTAAACAGCAGCAATTGTCGTCCTGCTTGCACGCGCTATGGCCGCTGTAGGCAGTCCCTTCAATGTTTAGTTCATGCTGGTGGTGTGAAAGAGAAAGGCGTATGATAACTCCACCGGGCGTAAGGCCGGTTTGCATCTGTGAATTTACTTGCTTATGCACGCGAATGTGTTAATTTTGTTGTTTCTTTTTATTATGTTTAAGTGTTCGGTGGCGGTGTTTTCGCCACCTCTCCAACGTAAATACAAACATAAATGTCTGATACCAACAGTTGCAATGGCAGTTTCTCATTGTATCTGGTTTATTTTTTTATCTTTTAATACCAGTACCTACTGAGTTTGCGCTTTTCATATTGCGAGCATTTATTTAAATACATAAATACATACGTATGTAGTAAATTTGTATCTACGCATATCATGTTTGTAGTAGTATTTGTATACTTGTATACTTCTGATAGTATTATGTGATAATCCATTATTTACAATAGATTTTGTTGCAAATGAAGTACGTACTCAACGTTTAAGTTATGTGTGAATGGAGCACCAGCTTTAGCGTTGAGGGTCGTTATTTATTGCACGCTCTTATAAAAAATTTATCCTGAGCGGAATTGATCAGATCGGATAAAACACTACAGTAACTCTTATTATGATATACAGTGTTCGTCCAGTATAACGAATGATATAATGTCTGGGTTCATACGCTATATCGAATAGTACGTTATATCGAACTAAAACTTTATTATGAGAATTCAATAAAATTAATAAAAATGTTTAAAAAAAGGTATTCGTTTTTGGAGCGTTCGTTATATAGGCATTCATTATACTGGACGACCACTGTATTTTTTTCTAAAAAATTCCCAAACAGATATAGCGATTTTGACCACATGCCTACGAAATTGTCCATAATCACCAAAATCAAAAGTTCCTGATTGTGCAATAAAATAAGGCAGCATTTAAAAGATGAAACTTTAAAGACTTTATCATTCCTTCGGAAATATTACCAAAAAAGTCAACCTAATTAAAAATAAATACATACGTAGATTTTCTAAATCAAATCGTCTTTTTTACAAATCAGTTTTGAATATAACTGTTTAGAGGAAATAATATGATCTTTTTAGTCCCGGAAATCCCGCGAATCCGCGGGATTGATGACCTCGATCCCGAAAGCTTGCGGGTTTGTGACTTTTATGCGGGATTAAATTCCCCACACATAACGTTGTTAAAAATATACTGACAAATTGTTGGGTTCATATATTCATATGTGTGTGTTTATGCAATGTTAAGGCATTTTTGGGGCTAGGTTTGTATGCTTTAAAATAAAGCGATTACGTCAATTTTTTAGGAATTAATCAGTGCACTTTTTATGCCATTTTGAAGACTTTTTGAGGTAAGGTTTATATGGGAGGTTAACATCAAATTAAACCGATCACGCCAATTTTTCGTTATTTCTTGATTTATGCCCATAAATGTTAAACACCGATAATTTTGGTTCTACGACGATTGCTTCAAATTGTTTCCAAAAATTGCTAAACGAGGAAAGCCACCTATTGGAAAATATTAAAAAAAAAGATTGATTTAACTACCATAGAACAAACCTTTGGTCAGGTATATGAATTTCTTTTGTATTAAATTATAAAAAAAAAATATATAAAAAAAGCTATTTCTGTTCTCTTTCATTTGATAGCAAATTTGTTTATAGCATGTTCCGACCGACATCGAAAACATGTTTTCGTTGCTAAAACTGCTTTTCGACCCAAAACTTGTGTTTTCGTCCATGTAAAATCTGTCAAACGAAAACCAGTTTTCGCTGAAAACTACTGGAAAACTCATGTTCCACTCATTCCAATAGGTGTCTTCACTAGTTTTTTTCGGTTATTCATCGAAGTGGAAGTCATATTTTATCATTTTTAATACGCCATTTCCGATTTATTGTTAATTGGCTGGCCAAAGTAAAATAAGAATGAAAGTAAGAGGTTGCTAATAAAAAATAAATGAGCGAAAAGCATTTTGGTTTTGTTTTTTTTTTTTGGAGCAAAACTGTAATAATAGGATGTAATAAATGTCAAAGAAAACACTAACAGCCAGTGTGAACAGCCTTCAGCCCACAATCCCAAAACTCGTTTTCAAAGTGTTTTCGTTGTCGGTCAGAACATGGTATTAATTTGGATAAGGGGTTTGTTTATTATCAGGAAATGACTTTTATATAAATATTTGGGCAAGTTGACTTAAAAAAAAAGTAACTGTTATTTTCGGTCCCTGTCATTTTCTCAAAAACAGTGCATGTTGTTACGTTTTGCCGTCGTTTAAAAGGCTAGTATGCAGCTCTCAACTAAAGCAAAAATTCCATATAAAATGGCGTACAAAAAATGGCTAAGAAATTTTCGTATGTAAAATTTTCTTGAAGCAGTACGCAGCTCTTAAAAAATTTGCTACGCTTTCTTTGGTTTTCTAAATTTTTTTTTTATGAAAAAAGAGCACAAGGCAACCATGCTTGCAGCAGGCGTTCCATTATTTCTTGAGGAAAGAGTGAGGCAACAGGCTGGTGAAGTATCAGATGTCAAAATTCCTTGGACATACACACGAAATAATGGAAATTTTTTTTTAGCGTTTTCTTGAGAGATGCATACTGGCCTATATGGACATTTTCCACTGTGCAACCGCATTTCGAACATTTTATGGAGGGGGTTGAACCCCAATCTTTCCCCTTGGGTTCGCCTATTCTGACACCAGAGATATTTACTAAGCACACACACACAACATTTTTATATTCATACCTTCATTACGTAACCCATAGTATTTTAACCGTATCATCTGGCAACACTATTCAGCCGCATTGCGAAACCATTTAAATTAAAGATTTGTACCAACAAAGCAGTAATGGTTAGACCACGCCTATTCGCACGAACACATTTACACACGAATTAAGCGGCGTGAGCGAAATAATTTTGCTGCTTTACATAGATAACCACCAACACGTAGATACAAACCGGCAAGCCGTCAAGCAACCACCACCGGCAAATACAAAAACCGTAATAAGGCAAATACAACAGTGGCTAGTTGGTGCTTAGCAAAACAAACAAACAAACCGCAAACAGACAGACAGTGGCGGCAANAAGTAAATAAATAAAAAAAAAGGCGCTAGCAGCACACATAAACAATTCGTGGACTCGGTTGTCGGTGATGGTTGCTGGTCGAGTGTGACAGGGGTGGGGCTGGGGGATGGTAAGCATGTGCCCGTAAGTGTTGTGCTGTCCACCCCCTTTTAGCAGTCAGCGCAGACGGTGTTTGGCCCTTTGTTTTCGTTCATTCAAGTAGGTACGTATTCACCCTTTTTCCCCAATTTCTTTCTATTTTATTGATGTTTGTGCTTTTCATTAAATTACTTGCCCATCCCGTTTATGTTTCTATGTCTGTTGTTTGTAGGTACCTATATATGTATGTTTGCAAAGCGTTCCCCAAGCTTAAAGGTCGAAACGGTGTTTCATGTCTGCCGCCACATGCAAGAAAACAGCAACAAATAGAAAAAAGCGTTTCAACAAATTTCCATTGTTCAAGTGTTGAAGCTTTTTGTGCCCTTCCTTTACACAGCTTCATTGAGGGCTTCGAACGTGCACATATATAAAATACATACATACATGCATGCACACCCTGAAGGAAATATTGGCCCAATTGTTCGAAAAATACACAATCATAGGTATAGTAATATTGTGCCTAAACCAAAGGGAGTCCAAAAATTTAAAGCAATGCACTATGGGTAATTTTTCCCATTAACGATTAGATTATCTAAGAAAACATAGCTTGTTTTTAATTCATTTGAATTCGATTTCCCACAATTTGGCAGAAAAAACTTTAACCTTGACGACCTTGAGTCATTAGGTGCATTTTTTAATTTGTGGTTTTATTGAAAAAATTTTAATGCATTGTTTTAATACCTACATATATTGAAGAAAAATATTCCACCTAGTTACAAATGCCATTTATAGAGTTGGCTTATTAAAAAAAAACATTGTCAAATTATATTAATTTCAATTTAAAACCAGAATACTGTGAATTTCTTAATTCGTCTACTGAAAAATTAAGAGGAATAGCCTTTGCAGCAACAAAAGTTTAAAAAGCAACTCGTTTCCCCTATATTTTGTTCTCCCCTCCAAATATGTAGTTCACTACGGACAGCATAAAGAATACCTAAAGAAAGAGCAATTTTCTCAGAAAACGCAAAAAATGGCAAAATGAAATTGACAGATTATACTCAAAATTTTTCATTTTACACATTTTTGATGGCCTTTACACGGCCAAATACGGCCAACATTTTAAAAGTATATTCAAATATCATTTTTAAGAAAAAATAATAATTGAAAGTTACATCGGAAGTACGTATTTTTCACTCCAAACAAAAATTGCTACAGTTATACATATTTAAAATATTTACTTTTCTGCTTATTCCCTATATTTTTAATAATATTTTAGATAGTTAATGACTTAACGAAGACACCGTTGTTCGGTTTGAAGTTATGTTTATCAAATAAATAAATACCAAGGACGAAAAGTTTACTTTTATAAGTAGATACGAAAAACGACTTTTGGCCACATAAACTGATCAAATTACCTAAAGTGCAAACAGGTGAATTGAACTAAAAGTGGTGCGAATGTAATGCATAAACCATGAGTTTTGATCTAAAATCCCGTACTCAATGGGGGATTCCAAAACAGCCCAGAAGTCATTCCCGTATCCAAAAAATGGGTAATAGAGAGCGTAAGTGTCTTCTTATTCTTGCCTTGATGTATTTTCAATCTTTAGCACCAAGTTGACCGAGCTTTGCCCGGAGTGCATATACTTTTTGAAGTTTTGGATAGCTTAAGAAAAATATTAGGTAAATTACTTACTCCAAAATTTAGGTGGCAACCCTATTCC